GTAGGCTCTAATTCCAGTGACTGGTGTCCTTGTAAGAAGGCCATGTGAAGACACAGACACACATAAGCACAGAGAAGAATGATGTGTGGTGATTGGAGGCAGAGATGGAATGATATGTCTATGAGCCAAGGCATATCAAGGATGCAGGCAACCACCTGAAGCTCAAAGAGGCAAGGCACGATTCTTCCCTGGAGCCTTTGGAGGCTGCTGTCACCGTGATGTGAGACTTTATGGCTTGCAGAGCCGTGAGAGAATAAATTCCTGTTGTTTCAAGCCATTCAGTTGGTAATACTTGGTTTTGGCAGCTCTAGCAAACTAATATCCATGCCAATTTTTCTTTTATTAAAATCACTCTATATATTTCATATGCAGACCATTACAAGAAAATTTTAAAGGATTTTAGTGCTTTAAAAATTTTCAATGTACACTGGAACAAGTTGGACTGAGTAGTTCTTCCTCATGCCTCTGTAATTCTCCCCACAAAATGAGCAGCAGCAGTTGTGTAGCAAGGTGGAAGCGGTTAGGTAATAAATATCAGAGATTTCTGGATCCATTTCTAACTACAGAGTAAATTAGATGTGTTTTATTAAAATTCAAATCAGAAAACATTTCCTCCTCTGTGGAACCAGTGTATTAAAGTGACATGTGATAATTGTATATATTTGTAGAGTATAGTGTGATGTCTTGATACATATATAAGTATCAAGGAATTAGCATATCTGTCATCTCATACATTTATCATGTCTTTGTGGTGCGAATACCCCAAATCCTCTCTTCTAGATATCTTGAAATACTCATGCAATATTCTTAAGCATAGTCACCATGCTGTGCAACAGACCACAGGACTAATTCCTCCTATCTCATAGTGACTCTGTACCTGTTGACCAACCTTTCCTCATCCCCCTCCAACCCCTTACTCTTCTCAGCCTCTCAAAATGACTATTCTATACTCTATTTTCATGAGAGCAACCTTTTTAGATTCCACATATGGGTGAGATCCTCTGGTGTCTTTCTGTGTCTGGCTTATTTCACTAAACAAAATGTCCTCTAAGTTCACCTATGCCGAAAGGACTTTCAATATTGCAGCCAATTCTGTTCCCTCCAAACAAATTCTAATTAGTACCTGTTTGAATTTTAAGCTTATAATTATTTTAAAAGCATGACAAGAAAAAATAAAGCCCTATATACATGATCTTTAGTCATTCCTATAGAACTTAATCCTGTTTCTTTTCTTCAGCTTCAAAATTATGGCTTCATACTTGACTGTTTAGAGTGTTACTGAATTAATAGAAGTAGTATAACTATAATAAAGATATTTCATAAAATGGCTCAGTGGGTCTCAGCAATCCCAATCAATTCATGGCCCACAAAACTATGTCATTGAATCTCACTACTTGGAATCTGGTTGCTCACACCTGTAATCCTAGCTACTCAGGAGGCAGAGATCAGGAGGATCGTGGTTTGAGGCCAGCCCGGGCAAAGAGTTGACAAGACCCTATCTTGAAAAAACCCTTCACCAAAAAGGGCTGGTGGAGTTGCTCCAGGTGTAGGCCCTGAGTTCAAAACCCAGTACCGGAAAAAAAAAGGAATTAATTTTGGTTCTGTGAAACATAACAATCCAAAACCAAGCATGGGATATGGGACATTGGAAGGAAGAAAAATAGATGGCTAAGGTTTTAAAAGCATTTTCCCAAGAATAGCTCATACTCAGATTCCCTTTTTAATGCAAACCATAAACATTTAAGTATCAAAAAGTCTTTTAAGGCATTCTTAAGATTTCTCTGTATTGTATTCACTTGAGTACTTTACTGACTGTATTTTTGAAATGTAGCCTGCTGGTGAATAACTAGAGCTAAATAAACCTTCATTAGGGGATGTAGAGTCTATGGGTATATTCTAATGATGGCTTATGTCACTCATGATGATTAATTACGTGCTCATTTAAGGATGACTAAGTTTGGATATTTAGAATCACATGCATTCAAACATTGCCCTGGCCAAGGCTCTCAGCCAGTAATTTCTAGAGAGCTCTGGAGTTTGTGTGCACCACTTGTCTCCAAAATTCAGAGGATACCATGTTCTCCCTCTCCTCCCCACCTTTGTGGTGCTGGGGATAGAACTCAGTGCCTGGCACATGGTAGGCAAGTGTTCTACCACCAAGTCACAGTCTTTTTTTAATGTTTCATTTTCAGCCCAGCATCTTCTTTCAAAATCAAGCTGTATTAGTAGGACAGCTACTGATAATACAGACACTTCTTTAGGTTTGAAATTCAAAAGGACCCAAAGGGAATTTCAGGATGTTTTTCCTCAGTAAAATCTATGAATATTTTTTGAAACTGTGAAAAACAATTTCTACCGAAAAGTGCAGTAGTTATTCAAAATTAATGTCTCTAGGAAGGTCTGAGATAGTCTGCACCAGGAGTAAGGGGCAGCCTGGCTCAGCTTAAAAGTCCACTTTGTGTCTGTGTATCTGCCCCTCTGTGTCCAAACCTCCAACGTTCTTGGATCTTCCTGCAGTCACAAGCTTGGCATGCTCACACACCTTGTGACATTGGTAATAAAACACAACTTCGAAAACTAATTTGGGCTTCTCTGAGTCTTTAAATCACAAAAAGTCCTTATCAGAAAAGGTGTGAGGCGAACGTGATAACCACTACACTACGGAAACCGACCTTCTTATCAGAAAAGGTAAGCAAACCTGCTCAGCAATGATGTAACCACTGGCCACACTGAATTAAACAAGAGTGCCACACACTGCTGCAGCTTCTTCCCAATATCCCACAGACTAGTTCTTATAGAGGGCAGGACTCTATAAGAAATTCACAATTATGAAGCAAAGGTAGGGAACAAGAGACATTTAAATAGCCAATGACTCAAAGTCAATTTCTAATTCAAATAACACATAACAATAACAATAAGGATGACAATGACAATAAGAAATCACGATAATGCAATGCCACTGAGCTAGTCACAAGACAGAATGAATTCAAGGGCTTTCTGGTGCCCAAAGAAAGTAAGTTAAATCTGAAATATCCTCAAGTTACTTAGGATAAATTACACTAAAGAGAAGATCCCCAAAGCTTGGCCTGGTGGTGCACACCTGTAATGAAAGAACTCAGAAGGCTGAGGATCATGACTTTCAGGCCACTCTGGGTTACACAGCAAGATCTTGACACAAAAAAACCAGAGGTGGGGAGGGGGAGAAAAAGAAGATACAATTCCTTAACTTACTGAGTACCTTTTTCTTTGGCAGTGCTAGGAATGGAACCCAGGGCCTTGTACTTGCCAGGCAAGTGTTCTACCACTGGGCTATATCCCCAGTCCTCTTGAGTACATCTCTAAGCTATATTTTTCAGTTCCTTTATATCTATGTGGGCAGGTAATCACTACTTGCCAACAAAATGTGGGCAAAAGTGATATTGCCTGGTTTCAACCCCAACCCTACAAGATTCTCCATGTTCTCTCCTCTCTTAATTGCTGGCTTGGTACAAGGATGCAGCAGAAGATTCTAAGACACTGGGAGATGGCAGAGTCACACAGTAGAAGAGGCCTGGGGATCCTGAAGGACTTTGTGGAAGAGACTTCCCTTACCTACTTACATTGGACTATGAGGTAAGCAAGAAATAGCTTTTATTCTGATAAGCTACTTATGTTTTTGAATTGCACGTTATAGCAGTTAGTCAGCCCTGATTGATGCATGTACTATATAAAAAGCCAAAGTAAGTATGGAAATCTGGTAATTAATTGGAATTGATCAAAGTTAAGGAATGAAGCTGAAACACAATGCAACACCCTCAGCATTCCCCAAACTTGTCCTCATCCAAACAGGGCTTGACAGGACGGTGAATAAAGACCTGTACCAAAATTAGTCTGGGAAATATCGTTAAACAAAGCTTGACAGGTTTCTTTGCTTCAGTCCATCTCAGAGATGGCAATATAATAATGTCCATTATGAACTGGTATAAATGGACTAAAGAATGTAGCAGTTCCCAAACTTATTTAGTCAATAAATTACTTCATCAATCAAATTATGATCCATTTCCCCTCCCCACCATGGCAACACCCGAGCACTACCTACCAGAACACTGTTCTATAGTTTCCTGGGAAATTTTGTGTTAGTGTGGTCTGCATTATGTGGATTAATCAGGTAGTACCAAACAGTTGTAGGCACCCCAGAGCAAGTCCTATTTCCTTATTAAGGGAGAGTGTTTCTTGTAAAATGACTAATGTGTACTAATACCATCAGTACTACCCAAGAAAGTTTTCACTGGAAGGGAACCAAGTTGTCTGAGCAACTTCAACTGTGACTGAACTAAAAGTAGGTGTGAACGGTCACCTTCTGTTTTTCCTTTGGACCCCAATCTGCTGTCAATGGAGTCTGTCGTATTTAATGATGGAATATACTTTTTTGTTTTGCAGTACCAGGGTTTGAACTGAGGGCCTCACGCCACTCCACCAGCCCCCTTGGAATGAACACTTATGATTTAGGGAGAAGTCACTGAGTCTACGTAACCCGGCGATGTTAAATATGTGTGTGAATATAATATATATATATAGAATTTGTTTTTCTTATGCTTATATGCATGCTTGAGGCATAATGTTTAAAACAATGTTTAAAGGCAATAAAAATAATTATAGCTAAGATTGATTGATTACTCTGATAGAAATAAAAGGTATTTTAGTAAATTAGGTTGTGCTATACTCTTTAAAAAATCTTACATATCACTTGTATGAATATATTATTTACAAACATAAGGATATATAATTTTCCCTACTGTAGTTTGTTAGGCTGTCTTGCATTTGTACTATACACATACTTTATTTCTACTCTGAAATTGAATGAAAAGTTATCTGATGGATGATTTCCCACATTTCTCATAGACTTAAGGCAACTAAAAAGGATTGCTATGATGAATATTTGGGAATTCTTGTGAAGTAAAAGGGTATGCTAAATACTCAACTTTCTGAAACAAATGAGCTAAAAAAAAGGTAAGACTTACATCTAGCAGTGTGTGAAGATGCTGATCCTGGAAAACACTGTGTAGAAAATCTAGGTCCTTTTCACTGCAGTCTGTAAGTGCGTGAATCTCTTCCAGGCTGTCCAGCACCTGAGAAACTGCTCCTAAGGGGCAAATGAAAGAAATGGTTAGTACAGAGGGTCAAAGTCAAACTAACTTTTGTCATCTTAAGCTTATACTTCAGAACAATGAACTAACACCAGAACTTCAAAACCAAGTACCTTTACTGAAGGAGAGGCTTAAATAGGGTTCTTATTTAAGGGCAGAGTATTTTCAGTGAGCTTATGTTCTCAACAATGTATTTGGATGCTCTTCATTTTTCAAAGTAAAGTGAAGCTTGTCTTATTTAAATTAAGGGCATTTGTCACCTAAAACTGAGTTACAAGAAGATCTGGGTGCAGCAAGTTATATACAACAGGAAGACAGTATGAGTGTCAAGACCCCAAGGGGTTTTGAAATGTTACAGAAACAACACAGGTGGGCCTTTTACACAGGGGCATTCCATCAAGAACTGAAAGTACAGCCAGTTGGAGGCCAGACCTTCAAATGGGAGCTCCTGCCACTTAAAATAAGCTTTGGGTTTTTTTTTAAAGGCTCAAACTTTAGTTAGCAAAAATCCTAATCCATTCCTTTTATCTTTATATATCAAGTCAAGAGAACCAAAGTCATTTCATTGTGTCCAGCTCTTCTTATTCAGAAGACAAAGACAAAGGGTATGTATACTAACTAACATCTTCAAATATCATATTAAAATTTAAGGCAATCCCATTTTTGTAAGTCAAAGCAAATGGAAGTGCTGTTATTTTCTTTACATTTCCTCTTATAACCAGGACAGCTGGCAGGTACTGGTAGAGAAAGATTCATACTGAAGAGGATCAAAGTCATAAAGAAATAATCAACCTATTTTACTCTGCAGACAACATGCACATATATATGCCATAAAAAAGAATGCCAAGAGGCTAGGCTTTAGAACATTTGTATGCACCAGAGAAAGTCTAAGACTAAGTGCTTCATTGCACTTCAAGTCTTTGGAACAGTGGTTCTCAACTAGGGGCAATTTTGCTCCCCAAGGGGACATTTCTTAGAGAATGGAGATATTTTTGGTTGTCACAACAGCAGGGGGAGGGAGACTATTGGCACCTACTGCGTAGAGGCTAGGGATGTTGCTAAATACCTTACAATACCCAGGACAGCATCCCCAGAACAAAGTGTTAATTTGCCCAAAGGTCAGCAGTGTTGAGACTGAGAAACCCTGATTTAGATAGAGACAAAATTCTCTTCTGGAACTGTTTCTGATTCTTCTTTTTAGATCTCATCCACTATTATGCACTTATTGGTAAGAATGTAAATCAGTGCCATTTTCTAGAAAGCAACCTGCTAACATATATCAAAGAACCTTAAAAATGTTCATGCCTGCTTTGCAAGCACAAAGGCCTGAGTTCAAACCCCCATCTCGGCAAAAACAAAAACAAAACAGAATGTGCATATGCTTTGATTTAGTAATTCTTTTCTTTTAACAAAAACTGATCTTAAGGAAAAAATAGATTTATGTATAAGGACATTTATCATATAAAATAGAAGATAAATCTAATCAATAATGATTATATAAATTATAGGCTAGCCATATGATCGAATATGTAGACCAATGAAAATATTTTTTCAAGAATTTTAAAGATGTAGGGAAATCATGATAAAAGTCAAGAAATTGGAAAAATCACTTTAATTGTATATTCTCAATTATGATGAAAAACAAAATATATACACAAACTCAAGAGAAAAACAGAAATAAATACACTAAAAGGGTAATGGTAGTTATCTTTATTTTTCTGTTTACACTTCATTCTGTTCTTGTTCATATGTTCCAAGTTTTCTATAACAACAAAAACAAAAACAAAAAGGTTGCTGTATAGGCTACTGATTTCTTGTTTTTTTTTTGGCAGTACTGGGGTTTGAACTCAGGGCCTCACATTTGCCATGCAGGTGCTCTACCACTTGAGCCACTCCGCCAGCCCTAAGCTACTGATTTCTGCAGAACTGATTAATTATGCTAACATTTTGGTGCTTAAGCCACAAGTCATGTGGCTACCTGCATGGAAACTACTGGGTCTATTTTTAAAATTCTTATTTTTTATATTGAGACAATTATAGATACATATGTATCAGTAAAAAAAAATAACACAAAGATCTAATTTATCCAGTTTCCTTCAACAGTAGCATATTGTAAAACTGTAGTACAATATCACAACCAGGAGAGTGACACTGAAACACTTAAGATCTAGAACATTCCATCACCACAAATATATCTCATGTTGCCCTTTTATAGCCATACTCATTTCTCTCCTCTACTGCCTCCTCCTAACCCCTGGCTGAGAACTACTAATCTGTTCTCCACTTCTATAATTTTGTCATTTAGGAATACTATATAAATGAAATAATACAGTGTATAACCTTTGGGGATTGGCTTTCTCCCCATACTCCACCCCAGCATAATTCTCTGGAAGTTCATTCAGGTTGCTTTATATTTTAATAGTTTGTTCCTTTTTATTGCTGGGTAGTAGTCTCTAGTATGGATGTACTTAGCTTGACCAGTCATCTGTTGAAGTAACTATGGATAATTTTAAATTTTGGATTACTATGCCTGTCAGACTATTGATATTCTTTCACTAGAACCATTAAGTGAATATTAAGTGGGGTAAGAAATGACACAAGGCAGAAATCAGTTCTCATCTCTCCTGCTAGTCCTGAAGAGCTATCATTGCAATCCATTTCCTTCTACCTGCTCTTCTTAAGACTTTTACTTTGGTCAAAGGCGGAAAAATCTGGAAACTAGTTCAAAGTCAATTTTCTTCATCCCTTATTGAAAGCCTTGGAAAGCAAGAGTTGATGTAAAGAAATTAGCTCCAAATGTCCCTCTGAATCCCTGACCTCCTGAGTACATCATCAACAGCAGAACAAAATGGTACTAGGGATATCAAGTCAGTAAAGCCAGTTCTAAACACCTGGGCTTATGAAATTACAATACTAAAAATGACAATGAAATAAAAAAGTCAACAGATAGCATAGAAAGGAACCTAAATATGATTTCTTACTCAGTTATCTTAGTAAAGCCTTATCTAGTTTTTATTGCCTCTATCCGGCATTGCTTCTGTTGATATGTATGCAATCCATGTAGCAGTTTATTAATGACATGATTAAAATAAAATGATCATGTTTTAAACAAATACTAAAATGTCCAGTCTGATGACTGGAAGCAATTTTGGCTGTACCCAACCAGAGATGTATCATTTGCTGGTCTGTAAACTTCCCAGTGCTCTTGTGTCATTCCTGCCTCACCAGTACACTCCATGGGTGTGCACTTGCTTTTTCTTCTGAGATGTAAGATGCTTAAGACAGATCTATATTTTATTCATTTTATAACATCCACTGAATTAATTAAGTCTTTAAGGATCCATAATAACAGTAGCTCCCAATTCTTGAGTATCTATTATGTGCCAGGTACATCCTCAGGCCAACACAGTAAGGTAGACATATCATCCCACCTTTCTAGATAGGGGATTGAGGTTCAGAGGGGCCCAGGAAAGTTATAGCTTGGAAGTGGTGGAGCCAAGACAATCCTGCACTTGCCTGGCTCCAAAGTCTATGCTGTGCCTAATTTACTACATGAATGGGTTGTGCTGAGAAACAGGGGAACCTTCAACAACAGTTAATGGTTTATGCGTGGATATGTGGGTTGGAAAAGAACTTGAACAATGCCCTATTGGGTCAGACTATAACCAAATCCTTTATTCCTATTTTTTGTCAGGTACTAGGCAGGGGCTTCAGAGAAAACAGAGATGTGATCCCTTGCCTTGGGGAAGGGGCTATCAGGTTGGAAGAAGTAGGCACAGCAGAGGTGAAAACAAGTGGTACAGAAATAGGCTGCCTAGGGAGGAGCTGGGCAGCCTCTGAGAGGAAGCAGGTGACAGGAATTCATTACCTTCATGAAGGGGTGAGCTTGCTCATGGGCCCACTGGATGAACACTTTTCCAGAAAAATACCAAGACATTTGTTAGCCTGTGTTCCCGGGGGTTGAAACCCGCCAGTCTCCACAGTTCTATTACTCTTTGATCTGTCACCTCTTCTGAACTGATTTACTGTCTTATCTGGTACACAAATGTGATTAATTTATGGGTTCTTCAATCATGTAAAGAAGTATTTCCCCAGTTGCACTAAGTTGCCAAGTTCCATCTCTGAAAAGTGTCTCCCACCCCTAATTTTAAGTTTTTGTAATTAAGTAGGAAAATTATAGTCTTCATTTTATTTCTCCTTCATCTTTTGGAATTGAATAAAACATATCTTTGGCCTAATCTTAAGCTCTTTCTCCACCCTTGACCATTTTAACACCTTCCTTTAACACCTATTCTAGTTCTGTCATTTCTTTCTTTGGGTGTGACCAGTAGAAGTACAGAACATTCTTGGTCTGATAGATGTGCACAACTGGTAACTGCAGTCCAGTACCGAGCCCATTTAAATGCCCCATAGTTTTTCAATTCATTATAAAATATAAACACAAAGACCTTGCTGGGGCTTTTCCATTTCTGCTTGTTTCAGATTTTAAACACAGGCAGTAGTGATAATGAATACAGTACACATATTCACTATTAAGCTGGTATTAGTATTCACTTTGTAAATCAGCACTGGTATATAGGAAAGAACCATTCACTTTTCTCAAAAACTGAAAAGGATAGTTGGCCTATAAAACCATTGAATAAGCGTGTAACTAACTTGAAAAAAAATCAGTCAACAAACAGTTCATAAGTTGTCCTCAGAGGACAGTTTGTTTAATGGAGGACTGTAGGTATCTTATTTGCCTTTGTATTCTGGGCTGTACTTTGTACAGAGATCTGTCCAGAAGGACATTTCATAAAAAGATACTTGATGAAAGTGATTTTTTTCTGAACAAATTCTGAAGAAATGAAAGTATCAGAATTAAAAATAAACAGCTACAGAAAACATTTTATTTTATACTACTTTGTTTCTTCAAAGTCATAATGAAAGTTATTTTAATACTAATACATATTTGACAATTTATAATTTGCAGAGTGACTTTATACTTACTAATTTA